AAATAAAACGCAGAAGGAAGAAGTATAATTTTTTTTGTCAAGCAAGCCCCATCGGAAAAAGGTCAGAGGGCAAAATGAGCTATATTTTTTCACCTCGTACTTAACAATTTCTGGAACTTTTCTATCATACAAAGAGTTACAGGGAAGGAAATACGGCATGGTTCCCCTTAATATAATCTAATCTAAAAAAATAAAAGTTTCATTGGTCGTTGTTGGTATGGATCTGGCTGCAACTGACTATCAACATCTAGGAACATATAACGTTGCTACATTGTAAATTTGAATGTGTCAAGAAGTTACGTGTGTTACGTGTGTCGAAAAGTTAAAGAAGTCAAAGAAACCGCCAAGATGTCTAACTACTTTCGGATAAAAATGACAGTTCAATTGTTTAGTGGGACAAGAAGACGCCAATGCCCATAAAGTTTGCATCCGTAATGAGGGCGACCGAGAAGTACAAACATGTGCCTCAGGGCCCTGCGTCAGTGATGACGTCATAATCAAACGATTCAAACCGGTCGTCATGGCAACGTTACAGGTGGCTCTAAAGGCTTTCTTGAACGTTGTGTTTTGTTAGTTGTAACGGTCACAACGACCGACAGAGACAACTGACATCTAAAACACATTGGCAGACTGATAAAAGCTACATTTGCGCGTGTGTGGTGTAAGGCCACACCAAGTAAATTTTATGGATGACGTCCACGCGCGCATTGATTTTGGCCTGTTCCTAGGAAAAAACAAGAAATTCCGCTTCCTGTAACTATGACCAAAGAGTCACGACAGTGCCGAAAATAGGTTTGTACGGACCAAAGCTTATGAAGCATCAAGCAAGGAATTCGAAATCATGACTTCCTTTAGGAATTCAGTTTGGTACATGCTGCCACATTTGAAGAAACTTGCTGACCGCTCCATCTATCTCCCCAAAGCACAAGACGACAATTGCTGTTCCACCTGATTTATTGCTGTTTTGATGATGAATAAAAGACTTGTTGCTTGGTACACTGTGTCACCTCATTCAATTTGTGTCCTAACATTTGTCGTCTCTTAGTATATTTCTAATCTAGGCATCTTGTTTTTTAGGGCCCTTCTTGTTTTTTTTTTTCGCCCTCTCGCATTAGATATACAGTCTCCAAAGGACGTCATCCATAAAATTTACTTGGTGTGGCCTAAAAAATAGAAACAAGAATACATGTAGGCTTGCTCGTATTTCACTTGTTGACAAGTTTACCTGTACTTGAGTTCACTACGGTTCAGTGACTATGCCTGAGCTCCAATGTGAATGAGGAAATGATGTAACAATAGAACAGTGTGGCCTGATGTGGTACCAGTGTCACATGATGACGTGTAGGCGTTGAAAAAACAGGTGCACAAAAGATTCCACTTGTTGGAAAGTTCACTACAGTTCATAGGATATCAAGTGTCAATGATGCAACAAACAGTCTCACAGTGGTTTGTAGTGAATGTACAAGGTGTAACATACACCTTCTTAATGCTTACGTCAATGGGAAAAATTCAAGGGACCAGCAAAAACTGACCGCTATGGCCAAGTGACCATACTATACAAAGGTGACCGCTAGTACAGGTTTGACTGTATACCAGTGAGTTGAAATCATACGTGTGACTACACCAATAATTGTTTATTGCAAATTCTTGCCCGAGGGCTAATTGCAGAAACAGAAGAAACATGGTATAAAAACAGACAATTACATGTAGTACATATAGAACTACTAAGAAACTACTGGTAAAAACTACTGGGTTTGACTTCTTTTTTGAAGACAGAGGGAGACAAAGGACCCCACTTTTTCTGTAATTTGTGGGTTTTCGGATGTTATAAGAGGAGAGTAGTTTTCTTTTCATTTGTATTTTTGTGTGAAAGTTTGGGTAGAATTTGGAGGCTACGTCAAAGAGTTCATTTTGTTCATTGCTATAAAGGGTACAATTTGATTATTTTTGGCATGTTTTAGGCTTTTTTATTGGGCTTTCTTTGTACTGGTACATTTTTTGTGCCAGCCCAAGTTGGGGCAAAATGATGCAACACAGAGGTGTGGTGTGAATGTTGATAAGGCAGGCGCGCCCTTCATTCAATCTGTCGACATTGGCACACACCCTTCAAGTTCATTATAGTTCAGTGAATATTTATGGGTGTGCACGGGGAGGAATGGAGGTATGATGCAACCCAGTCCCTCTAACCTCGCCTTGTGGTGTGACAAACTGCACGTAGAGACAGCCTAGCCTCTACCAGGCACCGCTTATCGCTGGAAAAATGGTAGAAATTGGCCAAAATAAGGGGATAGTATACCAGAGAAGATCCGTGGGTTGCGAATTGGATCTTCTATGGCCCGGGATCTTCTCTGGTATACTATCCCTTTATTTCGGCCAATTTCTACTATTTTTCCAGCGATCCGCGGTGCCTGGTAGAGGCTAGAGACAGCTTAGCTTCTGACGTCAAACCTCTACTGTATATTTATGGTACAGACTGCACTGAAGGAGGAAAGTGACCCCGCATTCTTAGCTGGTTGGGAGCAGCATGGAGTTACTGTAAATGCAGTTTTACTTGTGGTGATGATATTTCACAGTAAGGAAGTATTCAAGGTGTTTGAAGTTTGCGGTTGAAGCAAACCTGTAGCAGAAATAGTAAAAAACACATACATATGTACTCCTGAAAAAAAAAACACCATGAAAGTTTTTGAATTTATATTCTTCAGCATTGGTCCATAGTGTCTCATTTTGTATCTCGTTCTTTGTTATCGGGCATAGACCTTTTGCTGGAACCACTGTAAGGTAAAATTATTTTCGCAGGGAATTACATGAGGGAAAATAAAGGAGAGTTCATGGTTCAAACAATTCTGCAGTACAGTAGAGATACAAAACACATATCTGCAGTGTTATGATTTCAAGGTCATTATGAAAAATGTAACCAGTGAACATTTCAAGATTCACAGTATGGAAGTTTATAGCAGCTTGCCCCCTGGAGTGGCAACGTTGCATCATGTAAGCATATCAGTGAAAAGTTCTGTGACCGATTGCTTTATTTTCTGATCCACTCGAAAGACTAGTCTAAAAGTCGGTTGCTGAAGTATGCTCCTATATCACATTCACTTGATGCAATAAAATCATCAATTAAAGGCACCCAAAGCAATTTCAATGCAGTAAAACTACATTTGTAGATTTTCAAAGGCAATTTTCTTGTCATTTTTTAAAAATGTAGCAAGTTGAATCAACCCTTTCCCATAGCATACTGATATCTGTGAGGCACAAATGCGATGTCGCTGACAGAAAACGGTTGCTTGTTTTGTATTGAGGCCTGGTTCTAGCTATTTATTGGTGGTACCAAAAAATAAAGAGACTCCTCACGTAGCTTGTTTTGGCACTATTCTAAATGCTATTAGTATGAAATGATGACAAAAATGTGCAAAGAAAAGGCAGCGAATATAAGACAATAAAAGACAGACCTCCTCATCCTGAATATCTTTGTTTTGCTGGTTTGAAATTGCATAGGATGCCTTTAAAAGTCTATAATGGATTGCTTATTTTCTCGTGATCCACTCAATAGACTTGTCCTTATCAGTTCTTGAACTATGCACCTATATCACGTTCACTTGTTATTCAGTTAAAAGGTGATTTCTTTCTTTCATCAAGACCCACATGATTGACTAGACCTAAAGTGGACCTATATCACATTCAACCAAGGTATCAGTGTGTTTTTTATGATTCACTTGATAGACTAGACCTAAAGTGTTCTTGAACTGTGCACCCCTATCACGTTCACTGGTAGCAGAGGCACGTTTTCTGAGCGTATCTGCACATTAGGCCATGTTGATTTGATTATATGGATGACATCCTCTGGGAACCCCAAAACTGATGTGAGCGTGCGAATAAAAAAAAGTTTTGCCCCCCCCCAAAAGTTGCTTTCATTATGAAATCTACGTGGTTTTGAAGGTTGAACAAATGACACAGAGTATGGTTTGGTGAATAATCTACTCTATTCATCTCTTTACATTTTCTTTACATTTTCGTCTTTTTCGTTTGATTTTGGCATTCTAGGACATTGCTATCATTTTCCAATGTTGTTTTTTTCAACTTACAGTATATATTTGCTCATTTTGCAACCGTTTTGTACGATTTACAGTATGGTTGAAAACTTTTTTTTTGGAAGCGGCCAAAAATTCTGGCCTCCATAGCATGCCAAAAACTGGGGGTTTTGGGGGTCTTCATGGTCTTTGGGAGCTTTTATGTGCTATTTTCTGATTGTATATATAGACAACATTGCCGGGCCTGGTTGAATTACCCCCGTTTTTAGAACTGGGCTAATCAGAAAACAGCCGAAGACCACCAAACCCCCAGTTCTAAAGCCTGCTACGGAGGCTACAAAACTTCATGTGCGCGTGGATGTCAGCCATATAATCAAATCAACATGGCCTTACAGAGCGGCCTCTCCACTTCACCTTGCCACCCAGTGTGCCGGAGTACCCCCCCTATCAGAGGTGGAGACTCCGTTATCTCCAGACACTTGAGTTTGTGGACTTCCCCTCGCAATAGAGCTTTAATTAGCTTATTAAATATTTAGAATTGGATAGTCCACTTTGGGCTATTTACTTGGATGAATGCGCATGCTCTCTGGAAAGCTCCCTCCATGTAGTTTGATGATTATGCAAGACTTTTCTGACTTCTGTTTCCAGTCCCAAAAGCTGATTGGACTTTATCTCATACTGCGTAAAATAAAGTCCACATACATGTAGGCCTATAAATAATAGACCTATAAATAATAGTACTTTATTCTATGCACATATAGCCTTGTATTCAAACAATGGAAGATAGGTTCCATTCGTTTCTTGTACAGGTTTAGCCTGTTCTTTCAATAGAGGATAGCGTGGAAGTTTTATAAAGCACAAAGGTACAAAGAGGGGAGGAGAACAAAAAGAAATTGTAGTAGTAGACATTTTTTCACACTCTCCCCAACAAATTTAAGTAACAGGTAACTACATGGACAACATGGAGAGGGATACAAGTTTTATTCATTTTGGAAATGCCAGATTTCCAGAACAAATGATTGAATTTATTTATGATTCTTTCCTATTCAGCTCACAGCTTAAATCAACTTGAATCTTCAAAATATACTTGATGAATCTTCTTTTAACATTCTTCAAAAGTGTAACACAGACTGGTCAATAGAACATACTAAATATTACTATATCTTCTTACAACATGTGTACATTCCTTATCCTTACCTTGCTATCAGAAGTTAGATAATATTAAAGTTGTGAAATCCGTGTATGGAAGTTTTGTTTTCAGTGTTACATGTACTTGGTACATTGTGTGTTACTTTGTAGTTTTTTACAGTTAAGTCACAGGAAGTGAGGTGGGAAATGGTGTAACTGCAGATTGACAGGAAGGTCATTTTGCACCGTACACCTTCTCTACTCCTATCATGATAAAGGATCTTGACTTTCTGAAAAACTTGAAAGTCTACAGTAGAAGATGTTGAAATTTTATCATTTAACATTCCAGGTTTTTATTTACTTACTATTCTCCAGAGCAGCAAACTCAAAGCAACATTTTCACAATGAAGGCAAGAAGACAGGCAACATTGTAACAGATACCTGACATAATCAATACTTAATAACAGCATCCAGATTAAATTTGCACAATCCAGAACACTTTGGACACATGCTTCTTGCTGTTCCTAGCTTATACTTACATGGCTGATATTTTGTGAACAACTTTCCTGTCACCATACGGATCATAATGACCCCCAGCGGGAGTCGTCACACATCATTAAAAATAAAAAATCTCAAGATTTTCTGACAAAATCTCAAGATTTTAAGGAAAATCTCAAGATTTTTTAAAACAATCACAAGATTTTTTAAAGTCATCTTGAAACTGTTGTTTAATCTGGACACTGTTTTATGTTATAGAACAAATAGCTGTCTGTGTCACAAAATTTCTATTTCTTTGCCTTCTCATTTTTCAAAATTATAGAGTGGTAATCAGTATTTGTTAAATACTCTAACTCTCAGACACTCAGGATTCTGTGACCAAATATGCAGAGAAGTACAAGAATGTACAAGCAAGCAGAAATGCTATAGTTTTACACAGCTTGGCTGATAAAAATCCATAATATTAACATCAAACCAGTGCTTTTCAGTTCAGTCATCTGATTGGTCGTACCAGATCACATGGACGGGGTCAAAGTTGAAGATGTCGGGGTGTCCCAGATGGTAGAACTGCTTGTCGTAGTCGGAGGTGCTCCACTGGAAGGCCGGCTGCTGGTCGTGGGTGGGACCGCTCACTGCCATCATCTCGTAGTTGGCGTACATGGAATAACTCGTCATCTGTGGACCGGAGTCAAGGTGGTTCATGTTTAATATAATGTCAATGGTGAAATGAACAGAATGATGATAATTATAATTTTAAGAAACAGTACCAGATGAAACAACAAATTCAGAGATGGCAGGCTTCGCCGCTTTACATTGGTCAGAATCACACAAACATACACACAAACACACACACAGACACACACACACAGACACACACACAATCCTTGGCCTCCTGAATTCCCCCATGTCGACCTCTACATCTGTAATTCCTGCTTGCTCCCCAGCCAGACTCTGATATGGTTGACATCCTGTCATTCTGCCTGCCCATCGTCCCCTAACCCACATGCTGTCAACCTAGGTCAGACACTCAAAACAATACTTCTGTAAATGAAAGTAAACATTGTATATGTACGTGTTACTAATTAAAAGTAAGCACTGTTGCATGAGAAAGTTTGTACTATATCTATTTCAAAATGGCTATTTCTTTCCAAAATAAGTGCAAGTTATTAACCAAGTAAGAAAGAGAAAACTGAGGGATTTTTGTTACAGGGAATCCTCAGTTTTCTTGCCACAGATCTTTAAACAAAGACCCTTAAAACTTTTCTCAGAGATGCGTGCAGACACGGCTATCCCAGGAAAGGAAGGGATCCAGGCAGGATTATAATATTTAGTCTTCTCTTTGCTGTGCTTACATCTTCTTGCCAGCTAGAGTACAAGATTAGACACTGAAGACAAAACCTTGTGTCTTGAACTGGTAAGGACTGAGTCATCCAAACTTATGGTGTCTTTAGGTGGTTTGTAAAGTCTGTAATTAGAGCAGTCTGTTTTCTGTCCTTTCAAGCAACCATGATTTAATGAACAGGAAAGAAGTCTACTACATGTAGTAATGGAGTTAGTACATGGAGACAATGTCATCAACTTTCTCACCCAACTAATTATGTATTTTACAACATGCTGATTCTTCAGGAAGATCTAATTTCAAAACATATATTAGATATTATATAACCATAGTCAGTTTATTTAAGATTTCTTTTTTCAAATGTATTTCTGATATACATATACTTGTATTTACAGTGATTGCTGTTATTGTACATGTATTCACAACAAACATTGTTCATGTCGGAAAAAAATGTTTAACTTGAGAGGTACAGCCCATACAAGGTTGACCTTAACAAAAGACCCACTGTTCTCATCTACTGAGTTCTTAAGGACCAGATTGAAGTTGTGTCACAGATGCAGACCAGGTGAAGAGAAGGGAAGGAGCGAAAGTTTGTGTGTTGACTAGGTAAGGCCACATCAAGTAATTTTTATGGATGACATCAGCGCACGCATTAATTTTCGCCTGATTTTGGGGAAAAAAAAAGAAGAAATTTTGTTGCCTTCTGACAGTGGTCAACATGCCGAAAATGGGCAAAGGATAGTCTGTTGCCATGCCGGAAGGTGGATGGCAGATAACTACATGTATAAAGAGAGGAGACAAGGAAAGGCTTTGATTTAATGTTTTGTTTCTTACTTTGATACAGTGATATGTGATGTTGGCTGTGTATATGTGATGTTCTCACTGAATCAAAACCATTTGTACAACGATTGAGTCAAAATTTTAAGATGTAGGAATGTTGTTTTTTTCGGCCCACCTTGTTTTTTTTTTCGCCCGCTTGTATTACATTGTAGATTTGGAGTCTGCGGAGGATGTCATCCATAAAATTTACTTGCTGTGGCCTAATGGTAACTGCAGGATGACTTGGTTACTGATAGGAGAATGTGGGATGTAATTCCAACAGGTGAGTCATTATACAAAAGCCTGAACCTGTTTGTTGTTCTATGAGGGTATGCATGGGGGGAACTGGCAATGCATAATGGTGAATTAAGGAGGGCCAACAATACAGTAAATTCAGGCAGGCTGGCAATACTTAACGGTAAATTACTACTAAGGTTGTTATTGCAAAACTTCAAAAGTAGCTTGAACAGATGCTTTGTACATGTTTATGAAGAATATGCATTAAGAATAATTGTATAGAAGATGAAAAACATTTTGTCCTGGAATGCCCATTGTACAGAGATCTACGCATTTAACACAACTAAACTGGGCCAGAGATTTACAAAGTTAACAAACGACAAACTGTTCACATACATAATGTCATCGTCTAAACACCTGGTGATTGAGAAACTCTGTGAATTCGTGTACGCATGTCTCAAGAGGAGAGAAGAAACTAGTAAGCTATTGTAAGCTTTAGAGTTAGATGAATTATAGTATATAGTAGCTGTTTGTTCTGTTTTTCTTCTTATACAATTCCCTATGTACTAGTAACTAGTATCATCCAATATGTTATATCATCCAGTGCATTTAGCCCGGAAGGGCATGAATATGCAATAAACATCATTGTCATTAAGAATATTTTGTGGTCTACTATGGGGCTCTATAGCTGTATTTATTTTCTATTGTTGTTTATCATAGGCTGTATGTGGGAAGGAACAGGTGGGTTTCAAGGATTCTCTTCAAGGCCTCTCATTGTATGTGCAAAACATGTTTTGGTGGATGACAGTTAATTAACTATCGGCAAACTGGTATTAGCAACTTGTAATCATTAGAAAAAAGTACTTAGTTTGTTACAAAAATGTAAATTCTAGGGTGAATTATGACATCGCTGGTGACGATAATAAGGGTTCATTAGTCCTAAACTTTACTGATTCAGAAGTACAATAAAAACATGACATCATTGAGTCTGAGCCCTGTGTGAATTTTGTGAATTTTTGTTGCTTTTGCTCATACAAGTAAAGACATTATTGGTCAAACTTTTCTGCCAAGAAAGAAAGCAGGCAATCAGAGACCATTTACAAGTGATTTACACCTGAGCAAAAACCTGAAGGCACAAATGCTGCATATGCACGCTTGTGATAACTTCATACACAGAGTTTTTTCTGAGTGTGACTCAACCCAGAGTTATCAACCAAGGATTGAGGTGTTCAAGAATTTATTAGAACTATCGCGGAGTGGAACTCACTGTCACCAAGTACAGTGGGGCATTGTCATTAGATAGCTTTAAACAATGTCTAGAGTTAGAAGTTCAAGGGTTAGGTGTAACAAGTCGATCCATGTAATGTAGTCAGCTGCCCCCACGCCGCGTGCCTGCGAAGCTGGTGTGTTGCGCCAAAGGGTGGTTATACAGGCTATACAGATACAGATACCTGCTTTGATGTACAACAAGAACGTATCTTCAAATTGAAAATTACCTTCAGGGCTTGTGTATGATCTGAACTTACATGTACATTCTTGAGTTACATCAAAGCAGGCCAATTTACACTCTACACTTTACAAAACTTAATGTATGCAGTTTTCATCAGGTTTAAATTGCATGCAAATTGGGTTATTTACAAATCATTTGTCTGTTGTTTTTCAGAAATTTCTGAGGACGAGAAAACAATTCTACATTTTTAAAGATTTCCAAACATATGTAGTATATATTTGAATCTACTTCCTTAACCGCAAAGCTGATAAAAAAAAAGGGGCCTGGTCCTTGAAAGTCAACATGAGTGGTGTGTCCTTAAAGTACCTGCAACCTTCTTACCCAAACTCCCCTGTTGTCTGACCTTGGTTCTGACACATTTACAATGTTACCTTCCCACCAGGTGCAAATTAAGAAAAACTGCTGACGGAGTCACAATCAATTTGCGGCCAGACGGCTTGACACCTTTCACCGCAATTATGTCGGTAGTCTGGCCGCCACAAACCTGACAGAGTGAGTGGCTGTTTGTTTACTTCAGCTGGACAAGGTAAACAAAACAAGGTTCTACTGCCTTTGGAAGAATAGAGGACTGAACGACATTCGTGGGTGCGCCCGTAATTACGTCGCCTTCGCCAAACACGCAAAAGGAGTCACGTGGCGGTGAAGGCACACAGCGTTCGTTCGTACGGTTTAAATCACCGGGACGATTGCGGTGTCTGGCGGCGTGGCTGTGGTTTCATTAACATACCTGTTAGGTGTTCCTTTTGAAGTTGGGAATTCCTGATCAACCGCAGACCACAAAGCACGACCACACATTCTTCAGGCGTTGTGTCAAAGTCAAAGTTAAAAATGATTTCACCTCCTTTTTGTTAGCCTCTGTAGCAGGCTTATAGAATGGGGGGGTTTGGTGGTCTTTGGCTGTTTTCTGATTATCCCACGGGGGTAATTCAACCAGGCCGGTTCTGTTGTCTATATGCAATCAGAAAATAGCACATAAAAGCTCCCAAAGACCATGAAGACCCCCAAAACCTACAGTTTTTGGCATGCTATGGAGGCTACTTCTTGTCTTCTTAATGAGGATGTTCTATGGCAAGGCCTGAATTTCGTGTTACATTGTGAATAGGTGCACCATGTGTTACAGCAATGTCCATTTTGTAAATAATGAACAGCTACATAATGCAAGCAGATTATGGTAAAAAGATTGTTTTCAAAACCAAACCAAACTTGTGGCCAGGGTGATATCACCATTTCTGTAAACTTGAGACTCTGGGGACCAGAAAAGTTGACAAATGTGTCTTCAAATCAAGACAGTGCACCAGCTGGTTGGGCTGGGGCTGTACTGAGGGTCAGAAAGGGGCGTTGTCTCTTTCTGACCAATGGACATTGTGCAAACTCAACTGACGGAAAAGCACTTTTCATACATCACCAGGGATGCAAAATATGATGCTTTTATAGAATTTCCAATCCAGAATCCATTTTTATTTTAGTTGACCAAGACACACTGAGAGATCAATAATCAAAGACACAAACTTTAAAATCCATGTCTTTGTCTTGTATTGTAAAACAGGCTGTTTGTTTCAGTAAATAAGATTCTATATACCCCCTGAAAGGTCCTCTAAGGGAAGTTTGACAGTAACTATTTAAATAGAACTTGAATTGTTGTTTTCATGAGAAATGAACCTGAAACAATGCAATAATTACATCGTCAACCTTGATTCAACAGCAATCTCCCATAAATGTGCAGAATCATCAAATATGGTGGTTGTTAAGTCTTGTATGGCCTTGGCCCTCCTAATGTCAGGGATAATAACCTTTTACACACCGAGGTAGCCCTTTGGCTACCACTCTCTGTACAGTGTTGTGCATTAAGGACAAGGTTAAAGCTGTACATTGTAATCAGCAAGTGACACTTGTTAATAAATTTCTTTCTTTTGAGAAAACAAAATGCTTATGGAGAGGAAAACTACATGTAAATCTTCCAATGGTACAAGAGGACTCGTACTAAGACTTGTCTGAATAAACATATTAAAATGAGTTCAAACAAATGACACCTCAATGATGTTACTATATAACTTAAAATGTATCACTACAACTGTACTAGAGAACTATTTCAAGCACAAACTTAAAACACAGAGGAAACCACGAGATCCTTTTCCCAGTCTTTATACTGTGAAATAAAACCACTGCGAAAGTAAACAAATTCACAGTAACTCTGTCCTGTCTGATGGTTGGTACTGACACACCACATGCCCAGCTGTTATTGACCACCTTGGGCACAAGAATGGGATATTTGAAAGGCAACATTACATACCGTACTCTTTACAATGTAGTCATGGCCTTCTACCATTATGTACACTTGTACGACCTTGCCATTTTATAGCACAGCCCAGCCATACCAAGAATAGAAGTTATGTTAAGGGCAGGGACAACACGTTGATCAAAACATCTATTGTCATAGTTGTAGACATCAGCAGAATTGAAAATTTTTTTTAATCCTCCGCCGTTTGTGTCCTTGAAAGCAGATTAGGCCAAAGCAAGTAAATTTTATGGATGACATCCTCTGCAGACTTCAAATCTAAATGTAAAATCCCCCCCTCCCCAAAAAACAAGGTAGATCTCGGAAAGAAAACAAGATGGGGAAAAATATGTAAAAAATATGCATATTCGCCGTTTTAATTCTACGTACTTTGTTGTGTCCCCTTGGAATTTATCGTAAAGCGTAATCGAGAAGTTTCCGAATTCAGCGCAAAGTGCTGTCGAGACCCCCCCCATGCAGGCACCCATACAACCTTCCAAACAACAGGAAAACTTTTAACTGACCTTCATGTCTGTGCCGCCATGACAGCGGTGTTGTAGAGCGCCAAACGGGTAGGTTCCGTTGATGGGGTTGAGGTCGGACCTGGCGGAGATGGAGTTCTCGGCGCTGTATGGCGGAGTGCAGTTACACCTGGACAGTGGGTCGTGTTGGAAGTCGTTGTACCTGGAGCGAAAATAAACACATCATCATTATATCAATCATATTTCAGACTTCTGGCAAGTATTTTGGGTTTTCGTGACAGAGTTTTCACAGAATGTATCAGAACTGTTGCAGGGATTGCAGGTTGTAACTAAACGGGTAGTGTCAAGGCTCGAAGTTAAAAGTGGTCCAATGGTCACTGACCACTACAATTTAGGCTGGGACAACTAAAAAGACAGTTTGGGACATTTTTGGGACCATAGAAAAATAATAATATATATTGAACATCAGAATGTCAGCCCTTCTTTTGTTTATTAGGCACACGTCCCGGATTTTGGATCCAGAAAAGTCCCCCCTAATTTCCTGTCTACTCTGCAATTATTGTGCGCCTGGGAGTGAACATAAGCAAAATAAAGTTGACTTCAAGTTGAAGTCATACAATACCTCTCAAAAAACAGGTTGGGACAGTTCATCCTTGCTTCGGGACAATTGAAATGTATTTTTGGCACAGTGCTGGGACAGAAGGAAGAAAAGTTAATTTTGTGTCCTGCAACTGTCAAAACCAGGTACATGACATTGTATGTAAGATGCAGAAGAGGAGTCACAAAATTCCCTTGATCATACCTCCCTACTGTATTTCAAAGGTACAGTCTATTTCTGTATGAAAGGCAATTATACGCACATGAGACAAGACGGAAATTGGCAGACGTATCAAACGATTCAAAGGACCGTGCCTCACGATTCAATTCACGACAAGAGAATCACTGATTTGAAGCGTGTTTCGCACCGATGAGGCTTTGTTAACTTGATATCAAACATACTACAGCTGAAAAGGACAGTTAAATTTAGTTTCAAATTTCCTGGTAGATCCTTTTCACGAGTAAAGCAAGGACGTTATAAAGGTCTTTGATGGTATAATAAGAAAGGATGGAAAGGAGCAGTCGTGTGTGGAGATACAATATACGTAACATTAAACAGATACGACAGATGGTTTGCTCATCACTATCTGTTGCACATCTTTTTTTCCAAGGTTGTGAGGTTAGTGACCCTTTCTCGTACCTTTCTGGTTTCAGACAGACTTTACATGGACGTCACAGTTTCCTTAACAGAAAATATAGTCAGGGGTCCTTTCCGATGTGAGGGTTCAAACCTTCTGGTCTCTGGCTTATCATCTTGGAAAGGTGATAGTCACCTGTTATGTCAATACAGGGCTCGAAATTCATTTTTGGGAATAGGTGCACTGGTGCACCCAACCTAAAAAATTAGGTGCAGAAATATTTTTTTGGCTGATCCATATGAAACAAAACCTAGTTGCAGGTCTTACTGCTCCTCTTCTGAGCTTGAATCTAAAATGAGAGCTAACTTCAAAATATTAAACAAGTACTACAACAAAGATTTTATTATTTTTCTGATACTTACAGACCAAGAATATCCAGTATACTATTATACATTTCTAATGTAAAAAATGGGTGCAGCAGTGCATCCACAGAAAAACATTAGGTGCACAGCTCCAATTTTGGATGCACTGAGGTGCACTTGCATCCAGTATTTCAAGCCCTGCAACACTTCTACTAATGTGGTAAATCTCAATAAACAAATAAATCAATAAATAGTCAGACATCATGGTGATCTCATCTGTTTGTTTTTATATCAAATGTACAGTCTTACCTGTACATTCAAGAAACTGTTTTGTGAATGCCAAGCAAAACAAGAGTTCTGAGTATGGGCTTGATATGTAAATGTAAATTTCTTCTTTAATTATGCAAAAGATACAAAAACCGGAAGTTCTGATGCAGTACCAAGGTCATCCACCAGGAGGCCCATATTTGACCTTGACCTTTGTCTTCCTAAGACTTACCAACATACCAAATATCATCATAATCCATAAAGGCGTTATGAAGTTATGCTGACTACAAACGTGCGGAAACACAAACACACAGACAGATAGACACACAGACAGACACACAGACAGACGCGCCAAAAACAATACCTCCAGCTAATTTCTGAAGGATCTTACAGCTTACTGTCTGCAGATCACATTATGGCCTTCAAGGGTGTTAACATACAGTGTACTAGTATCTGGACACTCCTGTAATACCTACATATTCCTCACAGAGGCTTTGTTTTTCCTTAAAAGTACCCAAATATCTCACTGTAAATAGTGAGATAAACGAAGTCATTAATACTTGTCACTCTCTTTTGGTAGCATAAGCACAGTGGGCAGCATGTTAAAATATTTCCAGCATGGTATGATATTAAATAATTCCTTCATTTCTTTTGTATAAGCAGATAGTGATTTGGCAAAGAGCTGGTTGAAATATCTCTGGAGCTTTCAACATCTTGAAAAAAATTCACCTGTCAAATGTAGAAATGCAAAAATAATTTAGACATAAGAATGCAGATATTTGGCATGTAGCCACTCTCTCATTGGTCGAACCGCTAACTGCCATGCTGTCATTGGTTGAACAACTAATTATGATGGACAGTCAGGATCAATCTGTAGTCTGGCACAGCAACAAGCCTGTTGCTGGGGCCGATGCTATATTAAGGCTAGCAACAGTACTATGTATTAACACACATGCATGGATTCTCCTTTCTTTTCTATATATGAAAGGCAAATATATGCCCAGGAGACAGAGCGGAAATTGGCAGACGTATCAAAGAACGGTGTCTTATCATAATTCAATTTATGTCAAGAGAATCTCTCTCTTTTGGAGCTGCTAGCCTAAGGGGACAAGGCTTGATTCATATCATTTGAACATAAACGAAAAAGAGGGTTCAAAGATTTTGTATTATTTGATATTTAGAACTCCTTTCTTTTGAAATTTTATAGACCTTAGAAACAACAGAAACCATTTGATTCAGTTCTGTTATATAATACTACTACCTATTCTTTCAAAACCGAAACCCCTATATCATATAACATTAACTGCCACATGTATACTAGATTCCAAATACTGTACAATCTCATGGGTTCGTTCCTGCCTGGACACTGTGTCCTTCAGAAAGACACATTATATGACCTTTCTCACTCCACCCAGGTATAAAATGTGTACCTGACCAGTTGGGGAGGTAAAAGGTGGTGGAAGGAGAAGGAAGGGCTCTGCCTTCAAATACCGTGCCCTAGACACAGTGGATTAACAACCCACGGCCTCTGTGGCCTCAAAAAATGCTAAAGGACTACCTTTACCTTAGTTTTTCTTTTCTGACTCATTTGAGTCAGAACATTACATAATTGTAGCACAAGCTACGTGTTCTGCACCACGTCAGTGGCTTACACCTGCTAGGCTATGTCTGATCTTGAAGACCTCGTCCTTATTTAAGGGTTAAGCAATTATTGAAGAAGTTATGCAACCTTGGAATGTATATTTAGACTGTATGCCCTGTAGGTTAGGTACACATGCACAGAGATAGCAGGAAATATTCCTGGACACAGATTTTGTCAAATGAAATTTTTAAGATACAATCATATACATGTAATAACAATCATATATAAAAGTATGATTCTGTTAAGGAACTCTGTTAGGCCACACCAATTTGATTTGTTGGTTCTTGGATTTTGTGGGAAATAAATGAAGCATGCGGGTAAAAAAAAAAAACAACACAAAACAAACAGGCTGGGTCAAAATTTTAAAAATGAACTTTGAACTTCTAATCAAACCACTGCATTGATAGATGGAAAAACTGTGACAACTAGGAAGAAAAGCACTTTCCTAGACTGCAAAATACAAGCATTTTTGAGTTGATTCAGAACCAGAATCTTTTTTTTTTGGCAAATCAGAAAAAAATGAAGAGGCGAATCCGAGAACCAACAAATTAAATTGGTGTGGACTAAGTCTTCCGTGCTATTCTAGAGACAATACCAAAGTCAAGGTCATCGTCACTACCCAACATCCTGCTGAGTTGGCAAACTTGTCAAAAACATGTCCATATTTGGGCGTTCCCCCCAAGTGCAAGGCTAAATGAAGAAAGTGTACACAGTCTAATCTGGTGTCTCCATCTGTTGTGAACCCCCAGGTCTGTCTAACACCACATCCTGACACTGACTAACATCTTCTCAAGCTGGGATTTAGATATACTAAATCCTAACATACAACTTTAATCTGGTACAGTCCATTGTAAGACCTGTTTCCTATTGTTAATCTTTAACTTTACTCCTTTGCAATGGGAAATGTTGATAGTTGACAGTAATTTCTGGACCATAAGCAATTTCTGACTAAATTCTGACATACAACTTTACTCTGGTACAGTCCACTGTAAAACCTGTTTCCTATTGTTAATCTGGCTCTTTAACTTTACTCCTTTGCAATGGGAAATGTTGATAGTTTACAGTAATTTCTGGACCATAATAAACAATTACTAAAGTCTGACATACAACTTTACTCTCAGGTACAGTCCAATGTGAGACCTGTTTCCTATTGTTAATCTGGTTCTTTTAATAACTTTACTCCTTTGCAATGGGAAATGTTGATAGTTAACAGTAATTTCTGGACCATATAAACAATTTCTGACTAAATTCTGACATACAACTTTAATCTGGTACAGTCCATTGTAAGACCTGTTTCCTATTGTTAATCTGGCTCTTTAACTTTACACCTTTGCAATGGGAAATGTTGATAGTTTACAGTAATTTCTGGACCATAAACAATTTCTTACTAAATTCTGACATACATGTATACAACTTTAATCTGGTACAGTCCACTGTAAGACCTGTTTCCTATTGTTAATCTGGCTCTTTAACTTTACACCTTTGCAATGGGAAATGTTGATAGTTTACAGTAATTTCTGGACCATAAACAATTTCTGACTAAATTCTGACATACAACTTTAATCTGGTACAGTCCACTGTTTCCTATTGTTAATCTGGCTCTTTAACTTTACTCCTTTGCAATGGGAAATGTTGATAGTCTACAGTAATTTCTTGACTATATAGTACATAATTTACTACAGATTAAAAATGGGTGACTGGAAGTTAGTATTGCCAAAAGTTCAATGGTTTCTTTATCTGTAGATGTAGGGTTTTG